TATCAGCAAGTATACAGAAATTTCTCAAATTAAAAACAATTGCGCTGTTTTAATGATTTAACACATTAGTGAATGGTAGATTATCCATATGCATGAAGTCTTTTAGTTTTTGTATTTTTCACTGTAACTTTTAGCAAACCTTTGACCATCTTCCTTATAGATTTTAGGTTTTGCTAAGTATAGCAGATAGTTAATACCATGTAAAAAAATATCAAAATGAATTTTTTTGATGTTATGTTCTCTTTCATTGTTTCATATTTTGATATATTTCTTATTGGAACAGATATTATGTAGAAAGATGAAATGCACTTTACGCATAAAATGTGAATACCTATTAAAGTACTAGCGAACAAGAAAATTGTTGTTATTTTATAATTAATACACCACATTGATCACTGGAAGCTGTGTAAAGAATAATGGAAATCTGAACTTCAGATTTCGTTACCGTTCCGAATGTAAAACAAGCTAATGAATAAAGTTCATTAAATATTCAATCCGCGTGAAAATAGTTCGGTGGGAAATGTGAATAGCTCATTTCTTGAATTTACACAATCTCTCGAAAGTTCTTTTGCTTATGAAGTTTCTCAACTTTCAATTAATGATATGCATTAGAAATTTTCAAGAATTCAAAGTGTTCATGCGAAATATTCTCCAATCCTTGAATTGTAGGAATGTTCTGTAAGTTATACGATTGATTATTGTTGTGCATTCTCTGGAAGTTCATAGACATATTCGTGAAGGTCACTGTTCGTTTTATTTTTGGTGATTTCAATGTACAGTGTATGTAGAGTAAATATATGTGGAACAGAAGTAAGGATATTTAATTTCATTTGATATTTATCATTGTAAATTGTGTTCTTGTGGGATCTATGTACTTGTGTTTGTGTTTAACGAAATGGTGGATTTTTTTCATCATTTCATTTTCGCTTCTGTTTTTATTTTTATATTTTCGTTTCGTAGTTATCCAGGTCTTTAGTCACTATATAACATATAAGTATAGTTTGTTCTGCTATGACAACAATTGTGTAGGTTTTTCATACATATTTCAGGATTCGCCTTACTTCCTGCTTTCAGTCTTACATCTTCTATCTACAAATCAACTTTTTATTGATGTACTAAATTATTGAACAAAAGCAATATCTTTTTAATTAATGATTATAATTTAAATTCCAATTGAATTTTTTTATGTAAGTCCTACCAAGTCGATGCTGAAATAGCTTTGAAAATGTCGAGTTTCAAACTAAAGTTCTAACATACCATGAATTTGTTTGTAGCTTAGAACGTTTATTTATTTTGTTCCATTGCAACGCTACGAGAAGATTGTGTTTATAATATTTGTTTGATACTTGTATAGAAGTTTTTTTAACACAACAAATATTCTTTAGTTTTACCTAAGTATTACACTAAGAGTAACAGACAGGTAATGGGTTCAGTTATCATAATGACAACACATGTCCAGACGTCATTCCTGGTGCTGTGGGTAACAAACATTTACATCCATTTATTTTATTCTTTTTAATTTAGTAAGCCCCCCAGTAGCACAGCAGTATGTCTGCGAACTTACAACGCTAGAATCCGGGTTTCGATACCCGTGGTGGGCAGAGCACAGATAGCCCATTGTGTAGCTTTGTGCTTAATTACAAATAAACATAATTTAGTAAATATATAAATTTTAAAATATTTTAGATTTAAAAGACATTTGATAATAAAGTGTATACAAAATATGTTAGAATTCAGTCACTACACACTAGTGTCAGTAAACGTAACGCATGTGTTACGGAACACTGTTTTACACAAAGAGCTCTCTGGATATAGCAGTCCTTCATTTTGACTGGGTATACTAGAGATAAGGCATACAGTTAACAGTATCCATCATCCACCAAATCTTGGTATACTCTATTCGAATAGTATAATTGGACCGTCATTCTTATAGTGCTCATATAGCTTCAAAGTACGAAGCACATGCTTGCTTAGTGGAACTCAAACCATAAACTCTCGGATTCACAACTCGGGCACTCTTTTATTGATTATCATTAATAAGTTCCAATAACGAAATATTGAATTGCATTCAAACTTTTATACTAAATTCTGTCTATTTATAACAATGAATGAAGAAGCAGGAATAACTTTTCTTCGTTTATAACTTATAAATGATTTTGTTTGTTTGAATTTATGCACAAAGCTACACAATGGGTTTTCAGTTGTATTCACCCCAGGCAACATATGGCTTTCAGTTGTATTCACCCTAGGCAACATATTAGTCGATAACGTTGCTGAAGACCGTTGAGTCTTGGTGAATGACCACAGGTTTAGCACATGATGATTAGCCCATTTCGTTGATTGATAAATGTTTCTCTGTGCATGTGTTTATAATTAGAAGTGAATTAAAACTGAAACTTTTTTAATGCTATAATTTCAGATGCTTTGTTTGCAAATAGTTGAATTTGTTAATACGCATACTTTTTGTTAATATACACTGTAATATTATTTCAACCTAATGAGAGTCAGCTATTAAAAAATGCAATCTCCTGGACTGTTGCAGTTAAGATTTTGACTGCTACCGGAAGGGTCTTCTGTGCTTCGAACTTGGGCTTGCTTCATGTCTTTATGCTGTTTCCCCGTGGATCAGCAGTACGTTAACGGACCTACAAAGCTATACAACCAGGGTTCGATTCCTGTGGTGTACAGAGTGTAGATAGTCCATCGTGTAGCTTTGCACAACAATAACTCTTTATACTGAAATGTTGAAATATATGTCTCTTTTTTTATCACATGGAAAGTCAACTGTTTTATTTTTTCATATAATCCCCAGCTGGTTTGACCTAATCCTTAAATAACTAATCCAATCTAATCTCCATCGTATTCCCAAGTTTAGTGACAGTAAACAATTTCTGCTTTGGCATTGTATGGTATTCTCTACCATTAATGCATTATTTTCATTGCATCGTATGGTCTTTGTAGTGTGGACTAAACTTTGAAAATATACTATTCTTCATTTACAGGTTATATCACTATGCTGAAACCGAGAGTTATCAACAAAGACATCATGCTGCAGGATAACTCCATCTTCCCACGAGCAAACTGTAGCTTACACAATATCTAAATGCGTTGTTGTTCCGTAGTTTGTAAAGAGAAATAGCAGATCTCAGTTCCTCCTCTCTTTCTCAGATACGTTGTTAGAAAAAGTTTGAAGCTGTATTTGATAGAGCTACTATCTGATGACGAGCGTTTGCCAGAAACTATGTAATACATTTGGTTTCTATAAACTACTGTTCGCATACAAATTGTAACTGCAAAATATTTTAACAACCTCTTTTTCGCCAACGTGTATTTGATCAGAATGAAGTTCCATATAATTTATCTGTACAAACATATTAACTAGACTAAGATCAATTTCAGTTGTTTGCTTTAGTACAGTATATGTGTTCGTGGAATGCTCCACTAATTAGGACATCAACACCTCCTCTTTCCAACATCTGTGTTTTCACAACACATCACATGTTCATCATCGTTCTTTTTCAAACTGCTGACACTTAACCTAACAAAATCTTTCATGTACTTTCTTCTTAACACCAAGCTTTTGAAAGGTTATGGGGATGATAAAGTGTATTTGATTTGCTGCAGTTATTTTTTATATCTATTCATTTCCTGAACAGAGTATTATCAGATTATTTATGTTTATTCCTCTGTGTGTATATGTGTTAACTTCTCACAGTACCTGTAAGTATTGTGTTAACCCCTCACAGTGCCAGTAACTATTACGTTAACCATATTAAGAACCTATGTTAATGTAAGTAGCCATGTTAGTCCCTCACAATACTTATGAGCATCTTTACTAGAAGGCCTACTGGACGAAATGTTTTAGTTTCGGGAAAAGTGCTTTCCTCTATCATGAACATGAATTTTAACAATATCTGTTATGTACAGTTTCTGTATCTTTATGCTTAAAAACTGAAGACTTCTCTCAAGAAGATACATCTTGGTGTTCATCTATGTAAAGCGTGTTCTTCGAGCGTTATTAATGTGGTGAATGTAGAAGTCTACGTACAGCTTGTCACTTCAAACGATGTGAGTGAAGAAACTACAGCAGTCCTTATAAAACTTCTTTCTTCGAGTCACCTGAGTGTGGTAATTGGAGTAGCTATAAGGTGAAATTTCCTAGAAATATTTTACAGAGATGTGGGTTTAGTTGGCAAAACTTCTGGTTGGTACAGTTCATTCTAACTGCGAAGAGTCTAAATCTACTGGCTGATACTGAAATTGGTTCAATTTATCTGTCAGAATAAAAGTCTGCTGGCTGATACTAAAACTGATTAAATTCATCTGTCAGAGTATAAGTATTCTGTCTGATACTTAAACTGGTTCAATTTATCTGTCAGAGTACAAGTATTCTGTCTGATACTTAAACTGGTTCAATTTATCTGTCAGAGTACAAGTATTCTGGCTGATACTTAAACTGGTTCAATTTATCTGTCAGAGTACAAGTATTCTGGCTGATACTTAAACTGGTTCAATTTATCTGTCAGAGTACAAGTATTCTGGCTGATACTGAAACTGGTTCATTTTAGCAGTCTTTATTTATTTCATTTCAGCAGTTCTAATTTTAAGCCTACCGTTGCAATTTCTAGATCATTTTATCGTTCTTTAGCAACATTCACATTATTATTGCACTGGGACATTCCTAGCCTTAGCAGTTTCTTGCTCAGTAAATTATATTTCTAGTCTTATCAATCTCAATATGTTCTACAGACTTTAATATATTTCTGACAGTTATTTCAATATCTTTTTTATTTTTACATTTTATTCATGTTCTTATCCTTCAGTATTTCTCTATTAAATTTCTAATTTTATTTTCGCTTTAACTCTAACTTTTCTATTGTTCTGTTCAACACTTCCTAAGATTTGTTGTCATGTTCTTTTTATATGTGCAAATTTTAAATGGAAGTGTAGTGTTTGTTCCTAAGTATACACAACCACACAAAAATTCCCTGCGCCATATATGGGTGCATGTATATAAATGTTATTCTTTATTTATTAATAAGAATGAAAACAATACCTTGCAGGTGAGTTTACCAAATCATTTAGGAAAGCTAGCAGTAGTAGATCATTGTGAAAAATGAAGTTTTACGAGATACAAGCATTAAGAACGAAACTTGTTTACTTCAGAACAAAACAAAACATTACAGCTAGGTGACCTTAGATTCGATTATCGTTTCGAAGAGGACGTCATAATATTGATTAGTCATCGTTTATCTTCCGCTCTTTAGCATCCGTTGTTTCAGAAAAGCCAAGTTGGGGAAACCCTCTTTGTAGTGGAAGATGTAGTCCGGAAGATCAACCCCTACGGCTCCTGTAACACATCACTTATCATTATTGTGATAAATATTTGGCACTACTTAAAATTGCTTTAGAAAAACTCTTAAAATTTACCCTCGTTCACCCCCAACCATAAGATATCACGATAAAAACTGCAGTATTCAAACAATTAAGCTATTTATATGTATCAATATAACTTACCTGTTCTTTTTATTGGTTGGTTCAATCTTAGGCTGTTTGGGTAAAACATAAAATCTTCAAAACTTCCATCATTGGTGGTCCAAGAATCATGACCTTGGGCAGGAGGATAGCCAGTAACGTAGTTGCAAGATAGGATGACGAAAGTCAAGCAAAACATAAATTGAATCGTGGAAAGTTTCATTTCTCTGTTGGAAGGAAGTAAAGGAAGTTCATCATTTTATTACAAATGCTACGAAAGACGTCCATATGTAAAATTCACACCAAAAAACCTTTGCTACTTAAAAGTGGTCTGTTTCACTTTTGCTATCATAGGGTAAAGTTTTTGCTGATTATTCAAAAACACGAATAAAAAATTAACATTTTAAAAATCACGATTTATTTCGTTCTCTTGATATCCTTTGTATACAGCAAGAAATTAATCTTCACATTCCTAGATTGTTTAAAGCGCAGATCTACAAATTGAGATATCTGCATCGTGTTAACATCAGGAAATAAAACTCCGGATTTAAGCGTTATAGGTATCAATATTTAACATTTAGCAACCAAAAGACTTTGAGGATAATGTGTGTTTAGTAAGATCAATGCTGTAAAACTAAACTAGAATGTTCCAGCCAGTTTTTCGGTATTTTTATAAAGTTAAACTAGAGTGTTCCAGCAAGTATTTCTGTAAATACTAAATTAGAGTGTTCTAGCAGGTATTTCTGCCAAACCAAACAAAGAGTGCTCAAGTCTTCCGGTATTTTTGTAAAACTAAACTGGAGTGATCCAGTGTTCCGTATTTCTGTAAAACTAAACAAGTGTTCCAGCCAGTATTTCTGTAAAACTAAGCTATAATGTTCCAACAAATCTTCAAGTATTTTTATAAAAATAAACTACTGTGTTCCAGTATTTCAGTAAAATTAAACTAGAGTGTTCAGCCAGTCTTCCAGTACTACTAAGTAGTTCACTGTGTATAAACATCCAAAATCTAAGACAGGCTTAGTAAATCATTGAAATGAAAAACTTACCAGGTTTTAGAAGCGTCTCACAAACAAGAAACCAAGCTGTTGGAAAGGTTTGTATGAACAGAAGTTTCGTAAATGAGCTGATAACGTTTTCTGAAACAGATCCTATAGTTCTAAAACTTCTATTTCTAAAGATGAGCAACAACATTATTTATAGTTAACTGTTCTATCAAATCCCGCCCCGTATCCCCCTTATCATTGTTAATATAATCGCTTGAAAGCTTTGACCAATCACAGTTTCGTTAAGGTATTACGTCATTATAACTGAAAATTTTAGCGAATGACATATTTGCCATTATAGGTAAGATAACATTTTTTTGATGACGGAAAAGATGGGTAAATTGTCTGATATACATTTGCTGAGCCAGCAGAATAATAGTTATTTTGGCGAATTCTGAGAGTCTCCTCTAAAGTGCTTTGCCACCACTCAGGTAAAGATAATGAAACTGAATTTATAAAACTGTCACATGTTACCTAATCTTAAGTTTTTAAAATGCAGACTAAACAGAAATACTGAAAACAAAGAAATAGTGGAATAATGAGTTTTAATCTTGAAATGACACCTAAATATATGTATAATTTAGTTGATCTTAGTACCATATCTAACAGTTACAATAAAATACTTCTTTCTGTTTGTTTTGTCATAAAAGCCTGTAGGATTAGTAATTAAAGTAATTAAAAATAAATATCTTAATATATCGCTTGTTTGTTTGTTGTTGTTTTTTTCCATATAAGTGAACTTGTCAGGCAATGCAAAAGGGGTATATAGCTGTTTTAAACTTTGATGACACCAAGGGCTCTTATTTTATGAATTCTCCATATTCCTAGAAGAAACTGACAAACACAAATAACTTGAAACTTCGAGGCTCAGGAAATTCTGAATAAAATAGTAAAATGTTTCTGAAATAGAATCGCTAGTATTTTTGAAAAGCATTAAACTTTTAGGTATTGATGGTCGGTTTATCAGCAGTAGTGACTAATGTAAAAATATGTCATATTTTCATGCTTTTTTATATACTTTTTTGTTGTTCGAGTGTACTTGTTGGAATATCGGACTAGCGATTCCAAGGTTTAGGGTTCAAAAATGGTAAAAACAAACATGCTTCACACTCTCAACTGGGGTGCTTTATAACAGAGTCAGGCAGTTCCACTATTTGTTTAACAGTGGAAGGTTCAGGCGGCGTTTGCTGCCAGTGAGGTGCTTCATAACAGAGTCAGGCAGTTCCACTATTTGTTTAACAGTGGAAGGTTCAGGCGGCGTTTGCTGCCAATGGGGTGCTTTATAACAGAGTCAGACAGTTCCACTATTTGTTTAACAGTGGAAGGTTCAGGCGGCGTTTGCTGCCAGTGAGGTGCTTTATAACAGAGTCAGGCAGTTCCACTATTTGTTTCACAGTGGAAGGTTCAGGCGGCGTTTGCTTCCAACTGATTGCTTTCCTTCTTGTCCGCAATTCAAAATTAGGGACGGCTATGTCTGAACTATAGGTGTCTCTGTTCTGGCCGTTTAGCCCATTGTGTCCAGAAGGTGTCGTTCAAAGAAACAAACAATTTTTTGCGAACTTGTTAAGAATCCTAAAGAAATCCAGAGCTTAATTTGTGTAACACCATTATCATTGTTTTAAGAGACGTAGAAATAAAACAATCATGTTTCTCATTGTTTGTTGTAGAAAGAACAAAACAGAACCAATAAAAAGAATAGGATGGTAATCTATTTTCAAAAGTGCGCAAGAGAGAAGTGTTGTCAATTTCTTTTGCACTCTCCGTTTTGTATTAATTGTATTTTAAAGCAAAAGGGATTGTTCATTAAGAATGGTAAATTCCTTTATGTCTAATCACCGTTTCCTTTTGTTTTATTATTTGTAAACTTTATATCTACCTGCTGTTTCTTTCTGTTTTATTATTTGTAAACTAAGAAGGAATGTTGATTCTGTAAAACAGTTCTACTCCGTATAAAACATAATGCGTATTTGAAAAATTATAGTGATCAACTCCATTATAAAGCAATAAATGAAAGTAACATATTTATCCCATCCTATATACATAAATAATAAACACGTGTAACGTACTTATAGAATTATGGTAATCCAATTTCGTATAGAACAGTAAACCCATACAGTAGTTTTGCAGAATTATAGTTTTCTCACTCTATATTAAACAATGAAGAAAACCAATATAGTTATAAAGTTATAGCGATTTCACTTCATTTATAGCGCTAAACTAATGTAACGTATTTGTAGATTTATGTTTGTCCAACTCCACATAAAACGATAAATTCATACAATATTTACATATAAATCAGTCAATCCACAAAGCATATTTGGTAATTATTATAAGCACACTCCATATAAAACAGTATGCGCATATTCAACGTATTTATAGAATTATCCCGATTCATTTCCATGTGTCACAGTAAGCCCATATAGTAAGTAGTTTCGCAAAATCCACTTACGAAAGGAAACACTATAACAAACAAGCTGGTTACATTAAAAAAAAATGGCCCGGCATGGCCAGGTGGTTAGGGAAGTCGACTCGCAATCTGCGGGTCGCGGGTTCGAATCCCCGTCCCACCAAACATGCTCGCCCTTTCAGCCGTGGGGGCGTTATAATGTGACGGTCAGTCCCACTATTCGTTTGTAAAAGAGTAGCCCAAGAGTTGGCGGTGGGTGGGGATGACTAGCTGCCTTCCCCCTAGTCTTACACTGCTAAATTAGGGACGGCTAGCGCAGATAGCCCTCGTGTAGCTTTGCGCAAAATTCAAAAAACAAAAACAAACATTCAAAAACTTAATATACATGACGCGAAGTTTCGACTATCATATATTGGTATCGGATCACACAGTTTTTAAACCATTAAAGACTAACAAGTTCACAGTTCTTGATTCATTTTCACTTGCCAATGAAATAAAAATAAAATATGTAATTTCCCGTATCATACCGAGTCTGAGATTGTATTGCTACTCATAGACTTTCCACTATGACAAAACGTAGAGATTTTTCTCGGTGATCATGCTCTATCTGATTCTGCTGATTCTTAACAACGTCAAAGCAGTGATGTTTCAACGACATCAAGATTTCTCAGAGAATAAAAATAAAATAAAACCATAAAAAGCAAACCACAATGAATTGGGTTATAAATTGCCTCCAAAGCTTGATACAGGTTGGAGAGGGTATATGACCACTCTTTCAGAAGGTAAGTAATCATACAGTGCGATTGTTAAACGATGTATAACTAAATGAAAACAATATTTCAAAGAAGAGAACTGTCAGTGTTCTTCATGGATGTGAGAACTTACATAATAGAACATTTAGGACAGTCAGCTCTCAAAACATACTCCAAACTAATCAGAATCAAGACCTTCATTTGAAAAATGAAGGCTATAGTTGCGAAAGATAACTCTCCGTACAAAAAAATTTGTGACGAAGTTGGGTATATCATCTGGTATCAATAACAACATTAAAAAAAAACAAGCATTTGAATTTCACAAAGACTCGCACATTTCCAGACACACCTTGAAATCAGCAGCTATTTTCATGAGAAAAATAGCCGAAGTAACTGAAATTATAAAATTTCGACTACACATCTTTCACCCCCACCCACATGCAGTTCCAATGGACTTTTGTTACTTTGGTCTGTTTAGATGTGGGCTTGGAAGTCGTATCTCTAAGATAAAAACCAATTTTTAGAAATCTGCAGAAAAGGAATGGACAACATTGATATGGTTGTTCTTTCATGAAGTATGATATATAAAAACATAACTGCTTTGTCAGTTCTCGTTAAGAACGCAAGTAGACAATGATGTTTGAAAAAAAGTACGATTTTCAGAACTGAAAAGTCGAGCTTAATAATATTTTCTAAAAATAAAACGAAATTCATTTTTTGTACTTAATAATTGCCCTTTGTTGATTTGTTGTAAGATTTGCGGTAAATATATGCATCGACAACCTAATAATTTTTACGTAATAATACATATTGATGTCAACAAGTTTTAAATAGTAATTGTTTGTTTGTTTGAAGTAAAGCACAAAGCTACACAATGGGCTATCTATGCTCTTCTCACGAGCATTGAAACCCGGTTTCTAGCATTGTAAGTCCACAGACATACGGCTATGCCACAGGAGGGCGTTTGATGTTAAATCAGTTTCTCGTAGTTTTGTTTTTGTCTATCATACTTATATTTACTACATCGTCTTATTTACCTTTTTGGCTCTGGGGATCGATGTCTTTTTTTATTACATAATCTTATTTTAAACCTTTTAGTATTCTATTTTGAATTGTCTATAATAAAACAGGATTATCAATCATTCCAAAATATCGAAAGAACAAAATTATACAATAAATTGTTCTTCAACCAATTTTAAAAGCTCCATTTATTCATTAATGCAACTGATAAATCATTTGTTGGCTACTGCATTGTATCCGTCGATATAATAAACTGTTTAGCATCGGCAGTGTAGCCTGACAATGACTTACTTTTGATAAATATCAACGTGGAGTAAAAGCCTTAATATCGTATATTTATCACCCAAGTTATTAGCCTCAAAGACTATACAACTAAATGAATTAGTCCTTTTGATAGCATACCGCTAGTTTCAATCCGTGGATGAGTATACTCAAACACAAGACGGTGAAGTGCAATATTAGCTATAGGTAAATCATATAATCCCTGCAAACAATGTTATGGAAGATTTTGTCTTATTCCTCATTCATCATCATGAAACATCAAGCCTTCTGACGTTGCATAATGAGTTTACCCATTGATGTGCACCCCGTCCAAGAAGGTCCCTGATTATTCTATGGGTTTTAGGCTAGAACATAGCCACTAATATTTCTAGCTCAAGACAGTTCATTTCCATTTTGGCATCATGACACGACTTATCAGTGTCCTCTACCAGGTCAAAGTCTGATCCGATTGCACCGCGAAATGACCGAAACATGAAGTCTAACTCCACATCAATATTTCATCAAGCAGTTAATTCGCCCCTTAGAATCACAATGGGGTCCATTCATTTATCCATAATATGCTTCCCTAACGTCGTAACTCAATCGCTACTGAAAGGGTCACACACCAATGTTGCACGTCATACGATGCCTTCCTACCTTATAACA